TGGGGGGCGTTTCATGCAGAATTCTCCCGGGTGTGTGGCCGATGCCAGTCCAGGTTCTTTCAACTCAGCGCACCGCGTTGGCACCCCAGGCTCCTCCTGGAGTTGAAAAGCAGATTCGCACTGGTGGTGGTGGGGGGCGTAGGGGGGTTCCCTACGCGAAGGAACGCGCGACGAGAATCGGAAGTGTTCGCACCAGCTTTTCTCCCCTCACTAACAGGGAAAAAGGTAGTAATGTCCCCCGTATCGGAGTTTTAAATATACACATATATATTAAAGCTGCAGTTAAGAGGATACTGGAAGCTGCTGTTGATCACAGAGCAGCTCCCGGCTTTAGTTCTCGCTCGCAAGCTCGGATACACTGCACTTGAACGCCACGGCGTTTCGCCCAAGAAAGAAAATGTTTTATGGCAGAATAAATGGGCGTAACTTCGCCGCATCCTCGCTCCCGGTGGCTCGCGAAGGCACACCGCTGATGCTGTGAGTTTCTACTGAACCCACAGCTGATTTGCAGTTTCCCCATTTCCCCCCGAAATCACACAGGCGGGCTGATGCCACCTGGTAAACTCAAGTTAGAGGAATCTATTTCACATGTGCGCCAGGTTTATTTCCTGCTGGGAAAGCGGTACCCTCGTTACCCTGGCGCCCGCTCACGCGCGGGCAGGCGCAGTATCTCTACGCTCCAGGGTTTCCCGGCTCGCTCCAGCTTTTTTGTTTGTTTGTTTTTTGAACTGCAGAAGGGTGCCTTTTTGGCAAGGTTGTCTGGGGTGGGGTGAGGTTAGAGGTGGAGGAAGGGACAGAGAAGCGGGCTGGTTAGTGGAATTAGTTCTGAATTATTATACTTGTACTTTGTGTAGAGACAGTTGCAGTGAGATGTTTTGTAATTCTGTGTCACCACACACACACACACACACACACACACGCACGCGCTAGCGTGCACACAACACCCCTGCCTGCTTTTTCTAGGTGGAAGTTGAGTGGTCATTTTTAATTAGCCCCTCCTTTTTGTATCTCGACCCCTTTCCCTGGAGG